AAAAAAAAATAGAAATTGTTCTAAAAAAGAAAACAAAAACAAAAGAGAAAATGAAACAAATAGAAAAAAAGGAAAGGTGAACCTAAACTGATTCTAATATAAATGAAAAAAGATGAAACAAGCAAAAAAAAGAAAAAATTAAGCAATCTGAATACACTATTATAACCTGTGCCAGGTAATTTAAAAAATTATATACCAGATGCAACATCTGTATATCTCTGTTGTAAGTCTAACCTTAACCTTAAAATTCTTTTCGACCTATTTCCAAATCTTTTTAATAATCTAGTCCGTATCTCAAACCAAGTGCTGCTGCAGTACTAGAATCTGACTCTCCATATATAGCGCCAACAATGACAAGGATGCTACATTTTCATAAAGACACCATCACTCGGATACTTATCTCTCAAGCCACTTGGTGCCGCTACCAGAGATTCTTTTTTTGACTGGGACTCATTTCAGAGCCCATACAATGTATTCGTCTCCAAACATGTGGTTGCTATCTACTGGTCTATCCGGATTTGGTAAGTAAACAATGCTGATCTTTTGGAGAGGGTAAGCCAAATCCCCACTTTTTATGAAAAAATTTTGAAGACCGACAGAAAAATGACAAGAGGTAAAGAGAGACCACTTGAGCTTCAAAACCAATTTAAAGGAGTGTCAGTTTTCTTTTCTACAGTCAAAACCTACTGCCTAATATCTGCTTAATCTTTTTTCAGTAAGTGATAAACTCTGAGCTTGTTGGCAAGTAGTGTATAAGAACTATCTCTAAATGACAAGTGCTGAGACTATGCAGTGAGTGATAAACTCTAAGCCTGTCGGCAAATAGCGTATAAGAACTACTTCTAAATAACAAGTGCTGACTTATTGTCTAGTATATCAAGTGCCAGCTTGTAAGGTCTCTTTTTGCAATAAAATGTTTTTCAAAAAATATAGTTTAAGTGATTGTTGGAAAGAGTTATACAAATTAATTTTATAACTGTAGGTTACAAATTAATTTTATAACCGTAAATAAATCTGAGTATAAATTAAATCAACATATGATAAATAATGACATTATGTAATCAGAAATATATATATATATATAAAATTCAATACATCTTAGCTCTTTTTATCACAATATATGACGGTTTATATAAAGTAAAATTAATATATAACCTTGCTTAAAAAATTCTTAACGAAAGTTCAATAAAATTATACAAAGCCATGATAGCATTCATTGCTACATAACACATGATATATCGATTTCTATTAAGTTTTTCACAAAGCTGCTAAGTTAAACATAACTATCTCAATTGGCAAAACTGTACAAGTTTATAGTAAAAGTTTAAGGAAATTTGGAGTTAGATTTTAGTGATAATTTACCCTGTTACATATTAGTTTTACTTATATCTATAAGTCGTTTGCAAAGAAAACTATAAAAAAACGATTTAATGTTTAAATCAGGTATGCTAATGTAAAGAACATGTTTTATTAAAAGGTTGAACCATTTGCTAAATACTACCATATTTTTATAAGCTTCTTAATATTAGCCGAGTGATGAGACATTATCAGCTCCTGGTTCATATATGTTTGGCAGTGAGGTATTATCAGCTTCCAGTTTATATATGTTAGATAGTATATTAAATAATAAGATATTATTAGCTTCCAGTTCAAATATATTAGATAATGAGATATTATTAGTCTCTGGGTTACATATATTTGGCGATAAAATATTATTAGCTTTCAATTCACATATTTTGGATAATGAGATATTATCAATGTCTGGTTCTTTATTAGATTCTGGTTCACAAGTTCTATTTAAATACCCTATATAGCAAGAATGTACTTTACATGAACCCAGCATGTTAGATACTAATAATATATAGAATACATTTAATAATGATAATATATCTGACATAAACAAACAACAAAATGTCGAATTTAATGATCAAAAAAATCTTGAAATAACTCCTGGCTTAAAATTTCAAACATGGGATCAGCTTGATCGTTATATTAGAATGTATGCAAAGCAGAATGGGTTTGTGTTAATTATTATTGGATTTGAGTCTAATAATACTACCCAAAAAGACAGCTATTGTAAAAAATCAAAAACAATCTCAAACAAAGTGGTTGGGGTGTAAATAGTTAGTCAACGCAACTTGTCCGAAAACTATAGAAGAAATTAAAATTACTTCTTGTTATCTTGAGCACACCAATCATGAAATCTATCCTGATACTATTACATTTGCCTCTCATTATCGACAATTTCCTGATGAAGTAAAACAAGAAATTAAGTATTATATTTAATAACAAGGCACAAGACCCAAACTGGGTTGTTCATTGGAAATTAGAACCTATTTCAAATTCTTTGAAATTACTTTTTTGGATGGAACCTAATTAAGTTGAAATGTGGATTCTCTTTATAGATATAAATAATTACAACTGAAGCTGTCTTGTTGCTCAAGCATTGATGAATAACAAAACTACTACTAGTTTCGAATAGGTTTTTTCTAAGCTTTTAGAGTCTACTAGCTGTTAACCACATATTCTTATTATGGATTTTGATATTGCAAATGAAGCTGTGATTGAAATATCATGCCTGAAACTTATTGAATGAACTGTATATATTATATTGGCCAGAACCTTATAAAAAATCTAAAAAGTAAACTTGAATCAGATTGGGATGAGTTTATAAAAAGCTGGTACAAAATGTGTAATAGTTTATCAAAACAAGATTTTGAGTCTGAATAGGAGCTGCTTATTAATAAATATCTAGCCACAAAATTTTATCTTGAATGAACACTTTATAGCACCAAAGAACGATAGGTGTTAGCTTGGATTTCAAATAGATTTACTGCTAGAGTTCAGTCCACACAACGTGTAGAAGACATTAATGGAATTATCAAATCTAATCTAACAAGCAGAACTAGTTTATTCAAACTTGCTAGTGTTCTAGACTATCAACTTGCTTGGGAATCGATATATATTCATTATATTAATTGGTCTTAAGCTTATGCTAAACCTACCAATATATCTCAATCTGCCTAACTATTGCCCAAAGTTGATAAATAGCTTTCAGAATTTTTGACTCTGCCTATTTTATTTTTACAGAGAGTTAAAATAGTAAAAGCTCTTTGGTACAATGCAATATTATTTCCTAAAGAAAATATTAATATTAATCTAGAAAAAATTGAAATTGGCTTCTATGAAGACCTTGATGATTTTCTAGCAACAAATATCAATGAAAAAGTATGGAAAACTACTTGTTATTGAATATCACATAGAAACTATGTTATTATACTTAAAAATAGTGATTATATTTGTACTTGTATACGACTTGTCAATCAGAGTTTTTTGTGTTGCTATTTTGCAAAAGTAATGACAATTTCTCAAATTGCAACTTTTCATATTCTTATGATTCCATGACATTGGTATCTAGACAAACATTATTCAAAATCTGATGAATTATTAGGATCATAACTATCAATTATCTATAAAAATGATAGTGCTACTTTAACTCCCAACTTTGTGTTAAATTCAACTCTTATGTATCCAAGTTCTGGCATTTCTTTTAGTGCATCAAAGACACTTAAAACTTGTTGTACATATGGAATTGCAAATGGCCTTTATAAGAAAGCCATAACTGTTAGATTGGATGCCGGCTCTACTGCAATGGAAACACTTAATAAGTTTCTAAAAAATTTTATTCAGCAATATTCGGTAAATTCAAATTAGCATATAGTCACTAATACTACTTAAAGAGAAGATCAAAATGCTAATACTGCTTTAAGAGAGAGAGAAGATCAAGATAATGAGTTAAGTGATTTAGACGATGACCAGGAAAATATTATATCATTTGACGTGTCTAAGGTTCAAGATCCAGTAGTCAAAAAAAGAAAAGAAGTACCAAAAGTCAAACATATTAAGAGTTTATATAAAACAACAAATACTAGAAAAGAGAAAGCTGTATGCCTTTGTTTTCACTGTAAGCAGCCTAATCATTATGCTAAAACTTGTACTGCTAATCTTTAATAATGATAATAAAATTAGTATAATTATGTATAGAGTCAATTATTATGTATAAGATTAACAATATATAAATTATATAACTTGTATGTATGTATATATGTATAGAGTTAGTATAGCTAATTGATAATTAATTGTATTAATAATCTAAGATTCAGACTTATGCAATTTTGGAGATTTTTCATTATTTGACATATAAGTCTGGACACTCTAGTATTATTTTATTAATAATTTATTCTAATCAATATATCATAAGTAATGAAGCTAGCCTAATATGAGATAACGTTTAGCATATATAGTATAATGCATTTAGTGCTTAGCTTTAAATATATTGACTAGCAATGCAGAGCTTAGTTTTATAACCAGGTTGAATTATTGATGACTTCGCTATTATTAGAGCCAAATATCTAGTTAAGGATTATTAGAAAGAAGAGTAAATGATTATTGAATTGTTACAAAGTAAAAGTATTAATAAAGGCATCACGCTTATTTGTATAATATATATACCTTGAATAATACCAGTACAATAATGCAATAATGCTAAAAAAGGAATCCAAGTTTTTTTTCATCTTCTTTGTAATCAGTATTCACAATTATCATTAGAAGTGTCTGTCATGTAAAGTAGTACAAACTAACAATAAACTTATCGATCGATCGATGTGCTCTTAATTTGGTAAGTATCATACAATATTACTGAAGTCAACTTAGAGTCAACATTAAATGACTCGACTCTAACTATCAAACCAAGCTTCATGTTAAAGAAGTTTGAAACCGGTTTATTTTCTCATATATTAAAACCGGTTTAATATGTGAGAATTTAAACCAGTCCAAACTTCAGAATATGCCTAAGCTATTAAAGTTGGCCAATAAGAATTCTTTATTTGATTATAACTGTTTATTAATATGTTACACAAACATAACACAGTTACAGTAGCCAGGGTTACAAATTTATTGCTCCTTATTTTTAAACCACGAAAATTTAGGAATATCAAAATTTAAGCCCAAAAATTTGGAAAATTTATTTTTGAATTTTTCTGGTTCTTGCTTTCAACTCTAGCTATAGTGCATTGTTACAAGTAGACTTATCATATAGTGACAGAGATCTATAAAGAGTCAGAGTAGATATAAAGTAATATGAAAGTGGAATATTACTTCACTAGGGCAATTCAGTATAGTTTATTTATTTATTTTTTTTAACTTAGGCAATCCTGCCTTTATTGTATAAAAAATCTATATATAAAATACACAAGTTTCAAGCTATAGCTTTTAATCTTTTCTTTTCTTCAATATCTCTGCTTCCAACTCTAGCTATAGTGCATTGTTACAAGTGAACTTAGCATATAGTGACAGGGATTTATAAAGGGTCAGAGTAGATATGAAATAGTGTAAAAGTAGAATATTACTTTACTAGGGTAATTTAGTATAGTTTATTTATTTATTTTTTTTAACTTTGGCAATTTTGCCTTTATTTTATAAAGAATCCATATATAAAATACAAAAGTTTCAAGCTACAGCTTTTAATCCTTTCTTTTTTTCAATAAAGACTCATCTAGCTACTCTAAAATACCTAGATATGATCTGCTGCAGCAACTTTTCTTCTTACTTCTGGCTTTTAACTTACTGAAAAATTTCTTGTTAGATTTTTAGATAGTAGTCACTAGCCTTGTTAGGATTGTCATTTTTTCTCTTTTACTTTTTTCTTTTTCAAAGAGTAGTAGAAAAAAGAGGAAATATAAAAACAAGCAAACAAATAAAAAATAAAACTAAAAACATGAAAAACAAAAAACAAAATCAATCCCAACAGCACTAAATTAGCTTGTGCAAAGCCTAAAAAATTATATACTATTTTTAAATCTAGTTTTACTTTAAACTTAGTACGTAGTACATAGGTATAGTTTATTTAAGAGCAAAGATATATAGAGGAGAGTTAGTAAAAATAGAACAAATTTATTGAATAAATTTGTCTCATTTCTACTAATCTTCCCTTATAAGAGGCATCTATAATTTATGTTTAACATGTGTTGTAAATAAGAGGTTGTGAAGGTTGTAAAAGTGGTACCAGATACATATATGCGTATTATCAGATGCATATATGCATCAATCTAGAATTCGTAAAATCAGTGAAAATTTAACTGTCGCATGTGATTATATTTTTATAAAATATTGTATACAAAGTTTTACCTTAATAGTTTTACTTTTTTTATTTGAAGTTTTTTTTAACACGATCCTAAGAATCAAATACTCTTATAACAAATTTTACAACTCTAAATTGCTTTTCTAATTGGAAATGCAAATTTTGCACTCAATACCAAAAAAAAAAAGACAAGACATTGAGCTAATTATTTTACTATCATTATCTATGCACAGAGTAAAAAGTTTTTTTAATATATCTATTATCTAATGTTCTATATTTGAGGTTTGGCTATGAACTTAAATTATTTGATTCCCAACTCAGACTAGGTAGTAATGCCATTAATTTTGAAAAAAAGTTTGGGTCGCAACTCTTGTTGTCCACTGAACACTGCAGAAAACAAATTTATTAGGCTGAATATTTAATCTGTCTTTAATACCTCTCTTTTGCTTTTGACGATTATAACTATTTAAATTTGATAGCAGTTTTCTTTCACATCTTTTTTCTATTTAATACATACCTTCTAGTGATTTCCATCTAGATTAAGCCAGTACTATAAGCTTGAACAGCATTCACAATAATGGGCAAAAAAGCAAAACAAGTTCTTCCACTTCACAAGATCTTCCACTTCACAAAGTCATCATGGTAGCTCTGGTGGCATTGGCAAGTTGGCCTTAACTTTACAATATATGTCCATGGGTGCTATGAAAAAAAAGGATGCCTGGGCCTCCATTTTTTGTTATGATAAATACCCTTGATTTGATAAACGATCTTCTACTGCTTTCTGATATATTAAACAATTTTCGTATATTTTATTAATTGAAATAATAAATACAATTGATTCTTTAAACTATTTTTTTACCAATTAAAATTTACTCTAACTGACTGACTTAGGTGCTTGAGAACACCCAAATAAGACTAGAATTGAATTTGATGAACTGATTATTAGATAATACTAGAAATAGAAGGCAATTTAAGTGGTATGTCTATGTAATATTTCTATAATAAAATGTCTAAAATTATTTTTAAATTATCATAAATTTATCAATTCTAATATTTATTAACAATTGAAAAATACTATCACTAATTGTAATCCAACATGCAAGCAGCACCAGAAATGGTTAGTTAATTGGATAAAGCTAAATTGAAAGCTTAACCGTAATGAATTAAATACAACAGCATGTATAGCAAATTTTTTGTGATAGTATGTACAGATCTCATAAAAGGCAGAGGTAATAATGAATTTATACAATATATTAAGTTAGAAGGAAAAAAAAAGAACATCTTGGTTAGTGAATATAGTGACTAGACGAAAAAGTAAAAATGTGAATTTACCTTAAAAGATAAAGAAACTATATACAGTATAATTAATTGTTAAAATAAATTACAGACCTATTTTTAATAAAATCTAATATCCATTATAATCTTATTCATTATACAGGTATCGTTATGCCCAAGGCAATTTGCACCAATGAAAAAAAAGAAATTCTGGTTAGTGATGTAGTAACCAGGCAAGAAAGTAAAATGCGAATTTACTTTAAAAAGATAAAGAAACTATATATAATCAATTATTAATATAAAATTATAGACCTATTTTTAATAAAGTCTAAAATCTGTTATAACCTCATTCGTTATATATACAAGTATCATTATATCTATATTTAGCTTACTAAAAGAGCAATTTGCTTCAATGGACACCAAAAAAAGGTCCAAGTAGACTTCATAATTGTTTCTTGGTTGTGTTCCTAATAAAAACAAATTTGCTACCTCTGATAATATACTATAATTCTTTTTTTGTTTGTATGAATTTACTATTCTAGATTAGATTTTAGCACGTATATTAGGGACTAAATGTGTGTATTTTTTTACTTGCAAACTCATTAGATATTAGACCATGATGCTTTAAAAAAAAATAATATAAAAATTGATAATTTCTTTGAACTGTTTATAAATTTTAAAATTCTTTTGTAAATAAAGAAAAATATCAAGAACCTTATTATTTGCTTTAATTTATATCTCGATCCCGGTGTATTTAAAAATAACACATTAGAAAAATCAATTAGCAATGGTTTGATTAAATAAACTCATCTATCTTGTAAAGGTTCTCATCTTAAAATTTAATATTATCAATTAACTTTACACTTACGGACCAAATAGGCAAAAGTCGGGAAGTACTAGCTCAAACCAAGCTCAAAGATACAATTGCCGAACTAACTAGGGAGTTGCAGCAACTTAGTCTATTAGAACAAGGAGAAATGATCACTAATATTGATAAAGAAAAAAAAGAAAAGATTCAATGTGAAATTAGATTATCAACAAAAGCTTTACATAAATTAGAATATCAAAAACATCAATAGCAGAAGTATAGATCCCAGAAAAAACAGAAGCTTCTGCTAATAGAAAGGCAGTTTAAAGAGGCAAGTCTCAATACGCAGCTCGTTAGGCCAACAGTTGGTCGCCCAAGTCTAGAAGAACAACAACCAGGTTTATTAGAAGCTATTGTTTAAATTGTTTCTCTGGATGGGCAGGCTGATAAAAGACAGCGTTTAGAGATCATATGGTCTGTCAAAACCTTAGACCAGCTCCAAGAAGCATTAACAAATATAAACTATAAACTGTCATGCTCTGCAGCATATCTTAGGCTAATTCCAAGACAGAATAATAGTGAAGAAGGAAAGCGACATGTTAAAATGGTGCCAGTGAAGCTTCTAAGGTCACAAAATTCAGCAAGAAGAGCCCATGAAGATACTCATTTCTGTGCTGCTTTAATAAAAAATGTGAAAGAAATGGTATCAGTATTGGGTCTCAAGAGTACTTTAGTAATATCCCAAGATGATAAAGCATAAATACCTCTTGGTTTAGCCGTGGCCAACAAACGAGGTTGTTATAATTTAAAATAAGATAGAATTACTATTTAAAATATAAATAAAAATATAAAGCTTACTAATAATAATTAACAATTCATATAGTGCCGATTTTTATAAGGCTGGAATACTGAGTAGAACTGCCAGATCATGATTGGGTTGTTGCTAAAAGGCATAAACTAATTTCTTCGGTCTATGCAATATTGGATATACAAGAGGGTAAGTATGGGCAAGCTGAAGCAGTCACATATTCAGGTCCAACATTTATAAGGATCCGTAGTGGTAAACATGATAGCAATACTGCTTATTCCCACAATAAAGATTTTGATAACTTGATGAATGAGGAGAAATTGCATAACTATACTACAACAATGGATGAACAACCTGGTGCTGATAAGTGATGGTAGTCCTGATAAGAATTCTAGATATAGAAAACCAATTTAGATGATAATTGAACATTTTGATAAATATGATCTTGATACCATTATTGTAGCATGCTTTGCACCATACCAGAGTTCATCTAATCTGGTTGAAATGCGAATAGCACCTTTAAGTCATAACTTAGCTAGTGTTATACTTCTATATGATATTTTTGGATCACATTTAGATGCACAGCTAAGAACAAATAATAAGAAGTTAGAAAAGCGTAATTTTAAAGCTGCTGCAGATATTTTAACATCAATATAGGAAAGTATAATTATAGATAGCTACCCAGTTCTTGTTAAGTATCTAGATCCTTCTAATAAATATTACAGCCCAAGTGAAAAGTCAGTAACTTGAATTGAAAAACATGTAATGACTTGTCGTTATATTATTCAAGTCACGAAGTGTGATGATCCAAGTTGCTGTAAGCCTTTTCATAGTGGGATCAGACAAATTCTCCCGAATCAGTTTATTTCTCTACCACTTGTAGTTCAGCAAATGCCCTATAGTATTTGCGTAGCAAAGATAAATGAATCTGACAATACAACCCACTTTAGCTCTTTTCTTTTATCTGTATTAATGGAAGGTAAACTAACTCCTCTAGATATGAATATATGATATCTTCCTTTTGATTGGTATTGCCTAACTGTTAATAAATCAATTAATAAATTTATTTGTTCTTACTATAATTGGTACTTTGCTTTAAAAAGAACTTTAAAAAGCCATACCAAAAAATGTTCACTAGGGTTTCTCAAAGTCGAATTGAATCAAATATTTACATATTTGAATTTAATCAAATCAAATAAGCTCTTGATTTGAATTTGATTTGATTAAATCAAATTCAAATCAAATCAAATATATTTGCAATTTTTATTAAGTATTTTCAAATCGAATCGAATATTTTGTCAATTTGAATTTGATTTGATTTGAAATTTCTGTATTTGAATTTGATTTGAGATCAAATATTTGATTGAATCAAATCAAATTAAATCAAATTGCGGAACCCTAATGTTCATGTAATAAATCTAATTTATCTGTAGAGGCTGCTTTAGAATTCTCAGTGGTATATATTCACAACTATTGACATGGTGAATTCTTGGTTAGTAACGAAAGTAGTAAAACTATGTGGGTGGAAGAAGAGGCAGTACTAGAAGATGTGTTAGAAACCTATCATCAGCAGGTACAAGTTCAAGAAGAATTGGTTGCAGATAAAGTGTTAATAGTTAACTAAGATACTTTGGAAAGAATGCGAGTAGACAAATGAATAATTTAGGGTTAGAGTACTTTTTTAATACAATATGTAGATTAAATACTACTGTATGTTACTATTGTTGCATTGTCCATTACCAAAAATATATATATATGTATTTTACATTCTCGTACAATATATTATGTTTTAAAAAAAAGTTTTAAATTTTACATTTTTGCTAAAAACCTCTCATTTCTGTAAATTATGACTCCTGGGGTTCTAGGTGCCTTACAAACACCTAAATTCAATCTCAACATCTTTTACAACTTGGGAATCAACCTCTTACCTATTCGATAGTTAATTTATGCTTCAACTCCCAAATTGTTGTATATTTGTCAAGCTTTAAAAAAGTTTTATTTATTATCTAATTTTTTAAATAAAAAGTCATGAAAATGTGTATTAACTTGGTAGTAGATCCAAAGTATATGAATTAACTCAAAGCATGAAAACTAATGGATATATGATAGTATTTAATAAGTTTTTTAAAACTATTTCTTGATTCAGAAGAGTTAGATAACATTTATAATTCAGAATATGGAGGTGAATCAAGCAAATTTTTTATAATAAAATTTTTTCTTAACTTTAAACAAGAATAATTTAACAAAAACTTGACAAAATTTAATAAAAATTTTTTAAATAATTTTTACAAACTTGTAGAATTAATTTAAAAAAATTTTTATTAAATTTGATTAAGTTTTTGTTAAATTATTCTTGTTTAAAATTTTAAAAAAACTTACTAAAAAAAATTTGCTTGGTTTCTATTGACTCAACCTCATATATAAATGTAGGTAAAAAAATTAATACATAGGCATTAGATAGTTAGGTTATGTATACACACAAATGACTGGTGTGTAAATAATCGAGCTTGTGAATAGTGCAAATAATTAAGTATATGAGTGTATGAGTAATTAAAAATGCGGGTGTTCGAATAATAAATGTGTGGATATGCGAATATGTGAAGATAAATAAATTATTGAATATATTGGTGTATGAATGATCAAACGTGTAGACATACAAATAATTAAATGTAATATGTAGATATATGAATATACAAATGATAAAAGTAAGGTGTATGAATGATCAAATGTATAAATACAAATGATAAAGGTGAAGGTATACAAATAAATATATAAGTGTACAAAAATATGTGTAGATATGAATATAATACATATAAATAAAATAAATAAATACTATATATATATAGATAAATAATTTGAGTAACATTTGTAAAATATATAAAGAATAAAGATTTTGTTATTTTGTAAATTAAAATTTTTGAAATTTAAAAATGCCACCAGAACAAAATAGAGGTTCTTGCAAAGTTAGAGATTGTAATAATAATAATGCAAGACATTATAAATTTACAGAAAATGCATTTCAAAAATCAAAAGAAAAAAATACATTTGATAATTACAATTATTTAGTAATAAATAATCAATTATGTGATGCTCATTATTTAAAAATTGTAGAACCTGATAGACATAATAAAAGAAAATCAGTAGACTTTGAGAATAAAAAAATTTCTGATATTTTTATAGTTTCTGAAAATATTGATAATGAATGAAAAAATATTTTAGCTAATATTACTGATGATCAAGTTATTTTAAATAAGAGTGATTTTACAAAATTAATTGATAGGATAAATCAATTAGAAATACAAATTAAAACAAATCAAGAATTAATTAATAAACAAAACTTAACTATTTCAAATTCAGGTAATATTATTTTTTAATTTTCATATTATATTTTATTATTTATTTAATTATTAATATTTAAAATTATTAATTAGAATTAACATTTGAAAATAAACTTGATTTACTTTCAAAAGTTCTTTTTAAAGAGCAAAGAAAATTAAATCATTCAATAGAATTAGATTTTAAAAAATTTTCAGAATTAATTACACAATCTAATTTTCAACTTGATGGGTTTTTTGATGAAGTTTTTAATGCTTTAAGTCCAAGATATAGAGATTATCAAACTCGAGAAAATAATAAAAAATCAGCTGTAGGATTTTGTTATCTTCTTGCTAGAGCTCGAAATAAATTTGCAAATGAATTAAAAATAGAAATTGGACTTTATTTATTAGCATCTGGATGTAGTTCTTCTGCAATAGATACATTAGCAAATTTAAAAATTTCAGCATGCTATAAAACAATAGATGATTATAAAAGAAAAATAGTAAAAGAGCATTCTATAAAAATTTCTGAATATTTTAGAGCTTTTGTAAGTATTTTTAAATAATAATTTGATTTATTTTTAATTTTTAATTTTATTAATTAATTTATTTTTTTAGCAAAATACTATGCATATTTTTAATATTGATGATTATCATTCAATTCATTCATATCGACGACCAAAATTAGCATCATTACATAATGTACATCATATAGCAACATGTATTACAAAAAGAATTGAAAATTATCCTCCAATTCCAGCAACATATAATGGAGTTTCATTTTTTAATCCATTAAATATTGATGCAAGTTTAATTAACAAATATTTAATTGAAAAATATATGGATCATTTAGATATGTTATAATACTCGAAAATTTCAATGAGCTAATCAAACTATACAAAAATTTTAACATTTTGATTGTATAGAACTTCTTACAATTCATATTTATAATGATGCAATTATTGAACAAAAAGATGAAAGATCAATGAAAAATATTCAAATTATTAATATACAAGAACAACCATTAAAATCAACATCAGACTATATTACTGCACTTTCAATGATAACAGATATACTATCATTATATAAATATTTAGATCAAAATGTTTTACTAGTTATAGCAGATTGGCCAGGACAATTACATATTCAAAAAGCTATTATTCAATTACAAAAACAATTAGAATATCAAAAAAATAATCCAGTATATCAAATTACTATTTCACCAAAAATAAAAAATTTTCTTACAATTTTGGGTCCTTTACATGTTTCTTTAAATTCAAGAGAACATATTATGATAGTTCATTATGAATTTTTTAACAAATTATATAAGTTTGTATTTGATATAAAAAAGAAAAATTTATCAAAAAATCCACAACCTTATAAAATTAATCTTTTATTAGAGTTAGCAAGTGAAGGCTAGAAACAAATTAGTAATGTAATACTTTCAAAATTTTCTAAATTATGCAAAGATATAGAATATAGAATACTTATTGATCTTTTAGATAATTTAATACCAGCAGCTTTAGATATATATGTACTTATTTTTAGATCTGGATCATTTGAAGAATATATAGAAACAATTTTTCAAATTTGGACATTTGCATTACATTGAAATCAAAAAAATTATAACAAAGCATCTTTAGCTTTTTTATCTGATTATTTTTATTGGAAAGAAACTAATCATCCTTTTGCTGAATTATTAAAATTTTATCTTATATATTTTAATGATTATTTTGTTGAAAATGTTTATAGTAAAATTCAAGCAACTACAACTTCAAAAGATTTAGCAGATACTATAAGAAAACAAACATTTATATTAAATAATCATAATTATTCTTTTATAAATTCTTTTAAAAATACACGAAAATATTCTTATTTTTCATCAACATTAGATATATTAATTAAAAAAATATCAATATTTTTATTAGAAGCATTTTCTTCTATTTATAAAAATATTGGAAAAACTAAATTTAACAAAAAAAAAAAAAAGTTTATATTATCAAATCTTCAACAAACAGTAGATATTAGATGTTTTCCTACTGTATATTATTCATCATTTCCACCTATATTAGATCAATGTGATGAATGTAAACAAATATTTATAAAAACAAATGAATCAAATGGAATAATTTTAATTTGTAGACAAGGATATCATTTAGATTGCTATAAAAAAATAGAAAATAAATGTAAATATTGTATTCAATATTATAAAAGAGGAGTTTTTGATAATGTTAAATCATTTATAGAAAGATTAGAAAATGATAAAAAAGAAAATATAAAAGAAAAAGAAAATAATGATGAAAATAAAAATGATGAAACTGATGAGAATAATGAGAATAATGAAAATAATGAAAATAATGAATCATATTTTTTATCTGAACAAAATAATATTAATATAAAATATCAAAATGCAATATCTAATATATAAAATCGGTAAATAAATAAATAAATAATATTTTACAATTATAATTATAATTTATTATATATTTTTATTTTATACACTTAAAAATTTATTCATTTATATATTTTTATTTATATATATACATATTTATTTATTTTATATATACCCACAGCAAATATTCAAATAAATAATAAAAAAAATAAATAAAATCTTTTGTTCAAATAAATACATCATCAATTTCAATTAAAATTAGATTATTCGAATATACCCACTTATGCATTTAATTATTCACATATTTACATACACCCACATACCGTATAGTTCCGAAATTAAGCACTACCCTTCTACCCCAATTTTTTGAATCTCAGATTAATGGGAGTAATTTGGCCAAAGATCTTATTACAAATTCCACTAATCTGAGATTCAAAATTTGGAATAGAGGGGTAGTGCTTAATTTCAGAACTATACAGTATTTATTGTCCACTTCGTAGATAATAATTGATTTACTTCTAGTAATATTTGCAAAGTTTAGCTTTGCTACGTTCGTAAGATATCTTTTTTTCTTTTCTTAATAAACAACTTTTGTTAGTAACTACAATAGCTTAAAATTTAATTATAATATTAAAAAAGTAAAAAAATAATTAAAAAAATAGACTTCTTTGAATTAGCCCAAATTAAAAACCCAGGTAATAAATATAATTGATTGATTTTCTAATAGGATCCATTACTGCATTAAGACCTAAAGCTCTACTTCATAGTTGTAGATTAATGCTTACTAATAACCTTAAAAACTTCTTTTCATGATATATAACATTCTAATCTTTACTTCTTCGTTCCTGGTTTTGTGCGATCAAATGACATATGTTAACTTAAATTGAGAAATAATGCATACTATATAACACGAAAATAAAATCTATACCATTAAATAACTATTTTCTTTGGGCTTAAGTTCCTTTACTCTGCTTCGAATCAGGGACGATAATTTCCTGTGACTCACAGATAACCACTTAATCACAGCCAACTACAGAAATAATTCTTAGTCACTACAGAACATTACAGAATTCTAAAAAAAATAAATCAACACAATTTACGAACATGCCCTTTGGAAAGTTACGGAACTCTTATAGTTTTGAAATTAGATATCATGATTAATAAATAAATTTTCACAATAAATCACAGAATTTACCTTAATCATATCATATTAAATTACAAAATTTGTTTTTAACTACCGCAGAAATTCATCATCCTTGCTCCGGATATAAGGCAATACAAGAAATTTAGTAAAAATTATATTCAAATTAAAATTTGTATTAGATCAAGATAATTATAATGCCACCAATACTTTAACATAAGCTTTCGCTCTAATTCTCATAGTTTATATAATTTATGGTATAACTCTTCATTACATGTCTATTTGCTTATAAATTCTTGCTATATTATTTAAAAGATAAGAGAAAACAAATTTATAAGCACGTTAGTAATCAACACAAAATGAGTGGAATTTCAACCAACTTCATTTACTTCGCGTTCTGCCTTTCTGAAGATATTAAGGCCGATAAAACTTTTGTTTCTTATTTAGTTTTTTTAGCTTCTGCATCCTATTGCATCCCAAGATAAAAAACGGTTGCTTTAGAGGTAAAAAAATAGAATATTAAGTCCATTGTTATATTTACATATAATAAAAAAAAGTTTTGTATATTGTAACAATCTTTACTAATAAAAGTACTTTAAAAATTACAATTGACTGTATAAAAAAAAGATCATCGCCAATCATATTTACTCTAATTTTGGCCAATCAAAACGAACTTCTGCTATGCTAGAATTACCAGGCCAATTTTAATATCCTTTCTGTATTAAATACAATTTGATGAGCTCTACAACTTTTGTTAGAAGTCGAAAAGTGATTTACTTAGTATAAAAAAAAGTTTTAGATAGAGATGTTGTACTTTCGCACTTATAGTAAAATTTATATATAAAAAAAAAATTTTTTGTCTAGATGACTGGTGAATCATCTATTAAAGAGATTTAAAAAAATTTAAAGAAAAAAAAGAATTTAGAAATTTAGAATTTAAATTATTAAAAAAATTTTCCATTAATTCGGGCATATCATCCATAAATATTTTGATACTATGAGAAAGGATTTAAAAAGATTTAAAGAGATTTATAGAAAAAAAAGAATTTAGAAATTTAGAGTAAAAAGGAAAAAAAGAATTTAATAGGCGATTCACCAGTCATCTAAACAAAAAAATTTTTTTTTATATATAAATTTTACTATGAGTGCGAAAGTACAGCGTCTTTATCTAAAACTTTTTTTATACTAAGTAAATTACTCTTCA